GCTAGCGGGTGTGCCCCAGGGAAGGGGTCGGCCGGACGGGAGGCACCCCAGGGAGGCACTCGGAGCCTGGAAGGTGGTCGGGCGCAGGGAGGTGGGCGGCTCAACGCAGGAGCGCCCCCTACTGGCCCGCTACACCCCCCATCTCCACCGATGAGGGGTCCCGAGGTGCGGGGTCTGCTGTGGTGCAGGAGGCCAGTCTGGAGCAGGCGGCTCTGGGCCCAGCTCGGCCACATGCGCAACATCCAGGTCACACGCCCTGTGCACGGGGCATGCGCTGCACTCCCCTCTGCAAGCTGCAATCCCAAGGACTGGGTCTGGCTCGGGATTTATCCTGGTGGGGAAAGCCCCAAGCAAGGAGCAGCCACACGTGGGAGTGCAGCCATGTATGGCCCACGCTCACACTCACACCCACGTACTAATCAGCACCCAGTCTGCAGTGCCCAGTGCCCCAGCCTTGGCAGACGACCCTGCCTCCTCCAATCAGCATCGCTTTTCCCTCGGGCTCTCACCATCATTCATGCTGAGCTCTGCCTTTCATCGCACAGGCACCAGACACGACCGGCCCAGGCTCCAAGACGGTGCATGCCCAGCAGACATCACAACCACTCCTTGGGGCCCAGCACCTTCCTCAGGAGCCCGCAGCACGTGCACGCATATCTCTCGTGTGTGCACAGATGAGGTCTCGCTTCTGAGTGCCACGCAGCAGTTAACCCCTTCAGAACTGACACAGAGCCCAGTCAACTGTACCGTGTCTGCATCCTTTCTGTAGTGGGGGGTGTGGGGCACTGGGTTGCAGGAGCCAGCAGGGAGTGGGAGCATCTGGGGGGCAGGGGTCCATGCAGCGTAGCTTGCCTGGGCAGCGCAGTGCAGTGCACGGGGCTCCCGCTCCTGCTGCCAGCCCGTCATAGCTGGGAGATGGAGCTGGGGCTCCAAATGCTGCAGCTTCCACTCCCACCGGGAGCGGTGCAGCAGGGGCAGAAGGGGCAGGAGCCACTGGGGCTGGGGGGAGCTGAGCAGCACCCAGGCAGATGCAGCCACACTTAGAGCAGCCCCATGGGGAAGCTGTGCATGAAGGCCAGGGCCGGGGCTGGGGTAGGTGGGACGTGGGAGCGCGGCACAGGCTGCCCCACATAGGGCTTGGCCCCATGCGGAGCACCATGGGAGAAGCCTCAGGCCAGATCCAATCAGTTGGCAGGACAGATCCATCCTGCAGGCCATGTTTTGCCCAACCCCGGTGTAGATGAAGAGGAAGGGAGGTTGAAGTCGCTGGCTGGGTGGGGAGGGGAAGCTATAGGATGTTGTAGACAAAGCTCTTCCGTGTCTTCTTTTTTGCTCAGGTTTCACAAGGAAGGTCACTTGTCCGATGACCAGTCCTTGGCACGGTCAGGACCGGAGGGGAGGTGCTCAGCACAGAGGAGGGACAGCACCGGTCAGGGATTGCTCGCAAATGCTGGGTGTCGCTGAACCGGTCAGCGTGCACAAGATTCATCCCACAGCTGAGGTCACCCAGGTGCGACCCCCGACACCTGGAAAATGGCAAATAGAGCCCCAGGCTGTAAAGAGGGAACATGGAGCGACAGATGCATCAGCCTGACCTCGATGCATAGAAAAATGATGTAGCATTTCATCAAAGACTCAATTTCTAAGCTGCTACAGGAAAAAAAGGGTGATCAGGAACGACCTGTATGGGCTGGTCTATAGCAGCTCGTTCCTGAACACCTGGATTTTCTCAATGACAAGGGGCCAGGCCCTGAGGATGGGCCGAGGGGAGTGGTGTAATGCATCTGGATTTGAGCAAGGTGTTTCAGATGTGGACACTGATAGTGAGATGCCCGCAGGGAAGCGCAGGAAATACCATCTAGACGAGATTGCTGTGAGGCGGGCTCACAATGGCAGGCGGCAGGGCTCCAGGAAAGGCTGGGGAGTTGCAGTGAACTGCAGCCAAATAGGGGTTGACACTGTTTTTGTTGCCAAAACCAGTAACAGCTATTGGGAATGTTTAATCAGGGGCACCGTACATGTGTTGTAGGACACAGGGCATTTCCTCCATTCAGTACAGGTGAGGCCTCACCTGCATCCAGGTTTGGGTACCACATCCTAAGAGAGATGCCATGCTGGTGCCCCTCGCTCCTGACCCATAGCCCTACTGGTGCCCCTCACTTGTGACCACTATAAATATAGGTGTTAATATGCATTTTAATATAATGATTGAAGCACTGGCTGGCCTCCATGTGGCTTTAAACTTGTAAATATATCAATAAAATCTTGTGTTCAATTGATTCCTTCATGTCAATACTGTTTAGATGAAACTGCTTTCAGGTGGGCTCATAATAGCAGGCTGCAGGCCTGCAGGAAAGGCTGTGAGGGTAGCAGTGACCTGTAGCCAAATAGGAGGCAACACTGTGTTTTTGTTGCCAAAACCAGTAATAGGTACTGGGAATGCTTAATCAGGAGTGCCGTACCCACCGGGACACAGGGCATTCCCTCCATTCAGTACAGGTGAGGCCTCACCTGCATCCAGTTTCAGGTACACATCCTAAGAGAGATGTGGGGAGGCTAAAGGAGCGAGCAAAAGAAATGATGAGAGGCCTAGAAATGAAGACACAGGAGGACAGGTGAGAAGTACTGGGATTATTTAGTCTGGAACAGGGACCACGGGGGTTTTGACAGTAGGCTTCAAATAAAAAAGGTTCATTTCCAAAGAGGTTAGAAATCCCTGGCTCCCTACATTGAGCGGGGACAGGACAAGACAGGTTAGACGTTGTGGGGAACTTAGGAGGAACAGATCCCAACAAGAGCAGGTGCTCTCACTGCGAGTCTTTAAGTGCAGACTAGACACGTGCATTTGAGCTGGAGTAGACGGGGTGGATCCGCGCTGGAGCAGGGCATGGGACTAGGTGACCTCTCAAGCCCCTTCCACCTCTACTTTGCTGTGACTTTCCCAGAAATGCAAACAGGGACTTTCCTCATCAGCACGTGGCTGAGCCCTTGGTGTCGTGCTGGGGCAGGGTCTCCTCCCAGCCCTCACCTTAGTCCACACCTGTCTGTGCGCGTGGGGATGTGTTGTCCTTCTCATGGTGCCCCAGGGCCCTCCTCAGGGCGCCCCTCACGTCCTGGTTGCGGAGGCTGTAGATGAGGGGGTTGAGCATGGGGGGGAGGATGCAGTAAAGCGCGGAGACCAGCGTGTCCACCTCCAGGGAGTAGCCGGTGCTGGGCCGGTTGTAGTTCAGGTTGCCCATCCCAAAGTACATGATGACCACAACCAGGTGTGCAGCACACGTGGAGAAGGCTTTGCGCCTGCCCGTGTTGGAGCGGATGCGGAGGATGGCCAGAAGGATGTAGGCGTATGAGATGAGAATGAGCAGAAATGGGATCAATCCCACGAAGACACTGGCAGTATGAAGAGCCATCTCGTTGATGGAGGTGTCGCTGCAGGCGATCTTCAGCAGAGGAGGGACGTCACAGAAGATGTGGTAAATCTGGTTGGCTCCACAGAAGGAGACTTTGGTGGCCAGGGAGGTGTGGATGGCTGAGGCCAGGATGGCCCAGAGCCAGGACACGGTGGCCAAG